TAAATTAAGTTAGATTCAACCAAAAAAAAAAAAACGAAATGAGTAATATTTTTTGTGCCCTTAACAATAATATAGGTAATATAACCGTGACAATCTCCCTTAATTAACAATTTTAAATCATAATCTCAAAGGTTAAATTCTAAACTTAACCTATATAAAACAATAAGTGAATACAAATATCGCTTGGGGTTGTCATTTTGAATTGGTATAAGTAATACTTGAGTCACTTTATAATTCGTCCAACCTAGCATGCGAACGCAGCCTCTAATCATTTTCATTAACATTTTTTTCGTAGCCAGTCACGCTCAGGTAGTCACCCTCCCACGTTGTAATATAGCGCCAAAGTCTGACTTTCGTGCCCACTTGTGTTTCTTATTTTATTTACTGGTGAGGATGTTTTTTAGTTAATTTTTATATATTTTAAAATTAATTTTTTTCAAAAAGTTTTATGAATGCGCTTCTTATATTAACTTAATATCTTAAAATAAAATAATTTTTTAAATACTAATTTTAATATTTAAATCTTAAGCCTGAGTTATAAGATAATACTCACTTGTTTTTGTATGAATTTATAGGAAGGCTTCCTCTCCCCTTAGATATATACGAAGAAAAGAAGCAAATCCTAGAGAGAAATTAGAAGAGAAGCAGAGAAGAGCAAGATTCAAAGTAAAATGGGAAGAAAGCCATGTTGTGCTAAGGAAGGGCTGAACAAAGGCGCATGGACAGAAAGAGAAGATTGCATTCTCAGAAACTACATCAACCTCCATGGAGACGGTAAATGGAGAGATCTTCCTCAAAGAGCTGGTAATAATTCAATGATCTCTTTCTCCTTCCACTTGTTTTTGTGTTTTCATGGACCTGTGTGGAGGATGCAATATTAATACAATTTCTTGGTGAATTCTGCAGGGTTGAAGCGATGCGGGAAGAGTTGCAGGCTCCGCTGGTTGAATTACCTCCGGCCAGATATCAAGAGAGGAAACGTTTCTGCCGATGAAGAAGAGCTCATTATTAGACTACATAATCTCCTTGGGAATAGGTAATTTGAATTTTTCTTCTAGCTATAGCTAGTTCTTACTAATTTCTAAGGGTATGCGAACTTGTATATAACTAAGCATTATTTAAATGGAATAGTTATGAATTAAATATATGAATTTATGATGCAGATGGTCTTTGATAGCCGGAAGATTGCCGGGACGAACAGATAATGAAATTAAAAACTACTGGAACACCAAATTGAGCAAGAGAGCATTGCAACCCCAACAGACTGATCACCAGGATCACTTTAAGATCAAGTTAAAAGCAGAGAAAGGGGGCCTGAAGGATCGCGCAGCGGGGGAGGAGGACACAACAGAACCACTCAAGCAGGTGATTCGGACAAAAGCAGTGAGGTGCACCAAGGCCGTTGTCTCTGTGTTGCTGCAGCTAGAAAGCTTAGTACCAGCAAAATCAGACATAAGGGAGGCAGAAGAGAGTCCGTTTTCCTTGGCCGTAGGAGATCAGGACAATGACCAATGCATTGATTTTCTCAAAGATTTAGACATTGACGAGTTAGTTCTCACACCAGATGTAAACGTGGGTTCTTCCTGCCGTGAGATTGGAAAAAAGGCAGTGAAGTGCATCAAGGCCGCACCCGCGGCGTTGGAGCTAGAAAACTTATTAGTCCCCTCAAATTCAGACATGAGTAAGGCGGACGACCAGAGTCCATCTTTGTACTCCTCCACCGTGGGATATCATGACAAAGACGAATGCATGAATTTTCTGATGGATTTGGACATTAACGAACTTCTTGTACCAGGTTTAAACATGGGTACCTGCCGTGTTATCGGAACAGAAGCAGTGAGGTGCATCGAGGGCATTGTCCCTGCAGAATTGCAGTTAGAAAGCTTATTACCCTCAAAATCAGAAATGAGTATGAAGGGACAGAGTCCATCATCCTTGGAGGTGGAAGATCACAACATTGACAAATGCATTGATTTTCTCAAGGATTTGGACATTGAGAAAGTTTTCATACCAGATGTAAATGTGGGCTCTTCTTGCGGTGATATTCAAACAAAAGTACCAAGATGCACCGAGGCCGTTGTGCCTGCAACATTGGAGCTACAAAACTTATTTCCCTCAAAATCAGACATGATCGGTAGGACAGAACAGAGTCCATTTCACTTGGCTGTAGGAGATTGGGAGAAAGATGGATGCATCGATTTTCTGACGGATTTTGACATTAATGAATTTCTCATATAACAGATGTAAATGAACGTCAATATGCCTGCCCTCCTATTCAGACAAAACTGGCCATCGAGGCGAGGTGCACCAAGGGCATTGTCCCCACCGGACTGCAGCTTGAAAACTTATTACTACAATATTCAAGGTTCAAGCAATAATAAAATTTGTTGTCATCAATGCAATCCAAAGATTCAAGCATCGGCACGGTCCAAGATCAAAAAAATGACTGATTTCCTTCACCATCCAATTTTCTAATTGTTTTGATAGAAAGATATTTTTAGAAGATGTACATAGGGTATATTTGGTTGGAGGAGTTTTTAACTAATATTTTATTATTAGTAAATATTATAATTTCATTAGGTAAGGGAAAAAAAATCCTCTCTGCCCTCCCTGCCATTACCATATTGACGCCAAGTACCCCGCGCCGCCCTCTCTGCTAACGTTTGTGCCATGGAGTTTGTTCGTGGCAGATGTATGTGATATGTCCCTTTGATTGGGTTGGTCCCCGACAGCGGGGTTCTTCTGGTTGTCATCCCTTCTATCCGGCATCGTTTTCTGGGTACTGTGTTTCTCTCCTTTCATCTTCTCTTGGCTATTTCATCCTTGTTCCGGCTCTCCATGTTTGCCGGCGCTGAAGGAGCTTCCCTGCGGACGCATCAATGCATATTTGCATGTGGCTGGTGGAGGACGTGGTTGGCCATTTTCTGGTTCAGGCAGGGTGCTGATAGGGTCGCTGCTTTTTGCGCTTCTTCGGTGGCGGAATGGTGCCATAGAGGGGTTGCGGGTGTGCGAGGGTTAGTGATAGTGTGAGGACTCCGGTTTCGCAGTGATGGTTTTAGGGGAGGAGCCTTCTCCAGAGGGCAATAGGGGAGCGAAGGTTTGGAGGGGCTTCGTATGGAAGCCAGCTGGCTGGAGGCTGGAGGGTTTCCCAATGAGGTGCATTCATGGTTTCGTCGTGGTTACGGTTAATGGTAGAAGATGGTTCTTGACTTGATCAAAAAAAGAAAAAAAAAATGGTAGAAGCTGGTTCTCGGGGTTATTGCTTGACAGGTCTTGTCCTCTTTGGTGGGATATTCAATTTAGTCCTCCATTTAGTTTTTTGTTTTGATCTGTCGTGTCGAGTCTTTAATTTTGGTTGTGTCTTCTTTTAGTCCGAGGTTGGTGGGTTCGGTGGTTTATTCAGCAATTAAAACAAGTGCTAACATGCGCATTCAAGATTAGATTGTTTTTGGAGTTGGATAGAATCCACCAGCAAAGTATGCGTTAGTTTTTATCTTATTAAATTTGAATTTTTAGTTTTTTATTTTATATTATAAAGTTTTTTTCTTATTTTAGTTGTATAATATGAAGTAATTATCTCACATCTCTTATCTCACCCCATCCACAAACCATGCGAACTCAAATTTAGGATATTTTACTGACAGCAAAATGAAATAACCGCTAAATTATTTAGGTTAGTAGCTATATTATAAAGTTTTTAATTCTTAAACTTAAAAAGTTTGAAAAGTGTAACTCATAAACTAATAGAATCTATTAACTTTCTGTTAAAGTAATAATAAAATATTTATAAGATTAGTTTTCAAAGATTAAAAAGATAGTAATTTAGTTTTAAAAGTTTAAAAATTAAAAAACTTAGTAAAATAAAAAGAATTAATAAATAACTTTCTCATATATACTAAAATAGTATTAAATATGTATAATAAATCAAGCAATTAACTCAATTTGAAAAAAGAATTTTGATTGATATTAAAGAAAATTTATTAACTAAGTTAAAATAAAAAATCTAAGAAAGTAGAAGAATATAACCAAGAATTACTCAATTTGATTCTAGATATTTAATACTATTTTCATGTATATGGTAAACACATCCACACATTATTTTTAATTTATTATTTTTTAAAAAACATTTAAACTTTTGAAACTAAATTATTACATTTTTAATTTTTGAATACTAATCTTATAAATATTTTATTCTCACTTTAAAGGAGAATTAACGAATTCTATTATATTGGTTTAGGGACTAAAATTTTCAAACTTTAAGTTCAGGGGTTAAAAGTTTCATAGAGTAAAGTGAGAAGTTAAATGTATACGTTAGTCAAAATCTATAGTGACTCTATTTGTTATGATTGTAATTTAATTTTTAAAAATGAGCTTTTTTAAGGGTACAATTAAGGGGTATAATTAATACATTCTTTTAAAATTAATTTACATGAAAACGATAAGCATTAACTTTAAATTAATTAATTAGTCAATTAAAATAATTTATGTGTTAATGGTATTAAAATAAATATCAACTTTACAATTTTAGATTTTTTAACTTATACTCTTAAAGCACAGATTAAAAATACCTTTTTGTAATAAATTTATATTGAAAAATGTAAAAGTAAACATTAATTTTAGAGTCAATGTCACATGAATAAATTTAATTAGACAGTTAATAAATTAAATATTATTTTTTATTTTTTCAAGACTCTTAAGGGTATAGGTTAAAAAAACCCTACAATTTTTTATGTAAATTAATTTTAAAAATATGCATTTATTGCACCCTTAATCTATACTATAAGGCATAGGTTAAATAAACCTTTAAAAAATTTAAAAATCTTATAAGATAATTAAGTAATTATATAAATTAATTAAGTTTGGAGTTTTGAGTATTTATTTAAAAATTTTATATCTAATAAATTGATAAATTTTATTTTTATTTTTATTTTTAATTGTTAATTTTGATCATTTAAATTTTAAAAATCAAAACTAAAAATTAAAAATTACAATCAAACTAAATGGAATATAAAT